GGGGTCTGCACCGCACGCAGCCATCACCCTGCGCTCCCCTCTGCCCCCCGCGCGGAGCCCCCCAGGACCACCCGGTGCTGCGGTCACGGGGCACCCCGACATCTCCGGCGGCCGCGTCCCGACCCCTCACACACACACACGGAGCTCCGGGGGTGGCGCAGCTTGTGCCCCCTGACTCCAGCACCCGTTCCTCCCGGCCTCCTCTCCCCACAGGGGTCCCCGTGCCCAGGGCGGCCCTCAGCGCGTTTCCCGGGGGGGTGCTTTCCCCACCGGCGCCCCCCAAGCTGCCGGCACCCCCTGTGCCCCCTCCCCGCGGTCGGACGAGCCCGGCAGCACACGCGGGGCCGGTCCTGTTTGTGCCAGGAAGGGGGCTGCGGTGGGGACGGGGGTCCCGGGGGATGCCACGGCATCCCGATCCCCCCCAACCCCCCCGGCCCGCAGGTCACCTTCTCCTGGCCCGCAGCAGCAACAGCAGCAGAGCGAGAAGCCCATGGCGCGGCCCGGCCCGGCGCCCCCCGCCCCGCTCGGCGTCCGGCCGCGTCTGGTGGGAGTGCAGCGGAATCCGCGCCCGGAGCGCGGCCAGAGCGCGGCCAGTGACTCACACAGCCCACGGGCCCCGCCAGCCCGGCTCCTCCTGCTCCTGGGCAGCGCGGAGCCCAGCCCCGGCCGCTCTGCTGGGACCCCCCAGCACCGCAGGGCTGTGGGCAGGGCTGGGACGCGGCTGGAGGGGCTGGAACCACCAGGCACGGCATGGCACGGCACGGAATGGCATGGCATGGCTAGGTACAGGCATGGCACGGCACAGGGTCCCTGGCCAGGGAGGCACTGGAGTGGTTCGAGGTGGGCTGCAGCCCGTGCCAGCACCCTGAGCACTCAGGGGGCTGGGGGAGCAAGGCACATCCCCGCTGTGGGGGTCTTGGGGGGTCTCGTGGGGCTTGGCGAGGGTCTAGCGTCAAAACCCAACATGGCACAAGCCAGCCAGGCTGAACCAGGCCAGCAGCAAGGCCCAGGCGTGGGGGCTGGGCATGGCCCGGCACGGCACGGCATGGCACGGTGCCGAGCCGCGGCTCAGCCCCACGGCAGCGGCAGCGTCGCATCTGTGCTGCGGAGATAAGGAGCCGGCGGGGCGGGGGGGCCGAGCCGGGGCGATAGCAGCCGGCCAGCGGGGGAACACCGCCTGGAACGGGACACGCGTCCCGTGGGATGCGCCTGCCACGCCCGCCACGCTTCCCGCACGCTGCCGGGGCTCCGGCACGCTTCCCGCAGCTCCGGCACGCTTCCCACGGCTCCGGGACGCTTCCCACGGCTCCGGCACGCTTCCCACGGCTGCACCGCGGAGGACGTGGGACGGCAGCGGGAAGAGCTTCCCCACGGCCGTGCCGGGGGGCGGGGGCCGGGTCGGGGGGCGCCGCGCCGGGGATGCCGGTGGTTGCCAGGCGCGGCCCCTCGAGGCTGGTGAGTCACTGCTGCGGCCAGGAGCAGCATCCAGCAGCGCTCCCGGCCTGGCACAGCCAGAGCCGCCAGCGCGGTGGAAAAGCTGAGTGGAGCGGAAAGGGGGACACGGGGGGGGTTCCCAAACCTCTGGGGCCCCCACCCGCCCACTGCCGCCACGTCTGTGGCAGCCTTGGAAACCGGAGCGGAGCCAAACAAACAGCACAGCGGCATCCTGCTGCCAAAACCAGCCGGCGCCGCCGCCGGGCTGCCCAGCGCTGCCTCGCCCCCCCGAGCCTCCCCAGCCCGCTGCCCTGCAGCCCCCAGCGCCGCGGGCGTGGGCAGGGGACCCCGACAGGAGCGCGGGCTGAGCCGAGGTGTCCCCCGAGAACACCTGCCCTGGCACTGTGCCACGGGTGACACCGAGAGCAGCTGGTACAGCCCCTCGTTGGCACCGGGCAGCCCCTCGGTGGGCACCGGGAAACACCACGGGCACCGGGAACACACACCGTGGGCACCGGGCAGCCTTTGTGGACACCGGGAAACCACCACGGGCACCGGGAAATACAGCATGGGCACCGGGAAACCACTATGGGCACCGGGAAAACACACTGGGCACCGGGAAACGCACCATGGGCACCGGGAAACACACCATGGGCACCGGGAAATGCACCATGGGCACCGGGAAACCCACCACGGGCACCAGGAAAACACACCACGGGCACCGGGCAGCCTTTGTGGGCACCGGGAAACCCACCACAACCACGGACACCGGGCAGCCCCTTTGTGGGCACTGGGCAGCCCCTTCCTGGGCACCGGGCAGCCCCTCTGTGGGCACCGGGAAACCCCTGCCTGGGCACCAGGAAACTCCCTGTGGGCACCGGGAAACCACCACGGATACTGGGAAACGCACCATGGGCACAGAGAAGACCCTTTGTGATCCCCGGGCAGCCCCCCATGGGCACCGGGAAGCCCCTTCGTGGGCACCGGGAAACCACTATGGGCACCGGGAAAGCACCATGGGCACCGGGAAACGCACCATGGGCACCGGGAAACACACCATGGGCACCGGGAAACGCACCATGGGCACCGGGAAACCCACCACGGGCACCAGGAAAACACACCACGGGCACCGGGCAGCCTTTGTGGGCACCGGGAAACCCACCACAACCACGGACACCGGGCAGCCCCTTTGTGGGCACTGGGCAGCCCCTTCCTGGGCACCGGGCAACCCCTCTGTGGGCACCGGGAAACCCCTGCCTGGGCACCAGGAAACTCCCTGTGGGCACCGGGAAACCACCACGGATACTGGGAAACGCACCATGGGCACAGAGAAGACCCTTTGTGATCACCGGGCAGCCCCCCATGGGCACCGGGAAGCCCCTTCGTGGGCACCGGGAAAGCCACCACAACCACAGGCACCGGGCTCCCCTTTTGTGGGCACCGGGCAGGCTCCCATGGGCACAGGGAAGACCCTTTTGTGGTCACCGGGCAGCCCCTTCCTGGGCACTGGCCAGACCCTTCGTGGGCACCGGGAAACCCCTGCCTGGGCACGGGGAAATGCACCGTGGGCACCGGGCAGCGCCCCTTTCCCCCCATGAGGGTTCCACGATCAGCGCTCTAAACCAAGCCCCCCTCCCCGGCGTGGCACCACCAGGGGCACAGGGCACCCCCGGGGGCACACCCCGAGCCCCCCGGGGCGGCAGAGCGCAGCCCCCCAGCGCCGCCCACGCTGCCGGAGCCCCCCGGGAGCTCCCGGCGCCGTGACGAGCCCCGGCAGGTGCGACCTTGGGGGTGTCCTTCGGGCTGGAGCCGCGCCAGGGACAGCGGCCCCCCCGGCCGGGAGCAGCGGGGGCTCCGGCCGGGCCAAGGTGCCCTGCCCGCCTTATCTGGCCGGCACACCGGCAGCGGCACCGGCACCGGCACACCGGCACACCGGCAGCGGCAGCGGGCTCGGCGGTGGATCCGCAGCGGGAGCGGAGCCATCCCGGGGCCGCGTGACGGTGCCCGGTGCCACACGCAGACCGACGGAAGCCGCAGCCAACGCCCTGGAAAGTGCCAGGGGGAGGCCGGGGGGGCCGAGCCCCGGCAGCTCCGGGAGGCTGCTGCCGCGCTGGGACCGCGTGTGGGGGTCTCACAGGACCCCCACCCCAGCCACCCGCATCCTCTCGGCCCCCTCTGTCACCAGATACCCGCCCCCAAAAAATATTTGGCGCCCTCACGGCCCGGGATGGGGATGCTGCGGAGGGGTTTGGGCGGCCGAACCAGCGCCGGGAATCTCCTGGCGGGACCCCCGCTGGGAAAAGTGCCGGAGCGGAGCGGGTGGGCACGGGGGGCGGCACGGGGGGGCCACGCTCCGTCCGTGCTGAGTCACCCTCGGGTCCCCTCGCTCCCCCCGCGTGGGTACCGCTCCCCCCGGGATGCTCCCCCCGGGCAGGTGACGCCCCCCAGAACCCGGGGCTGCACCCCTCTCCCCTCGTCCCCCTCCCCGCGGTGGGTGGGTGCCCCCCGAATCCCCGCAGGACCCCCCACCCACTGGGGGCCCAGCGGGGCTGCCGGTGTGGTGTGGCCCCCCCGCCCGTTCCCCGGGGCCGGTGGGCGGGGCGAGGGGCCGAGCCGAGCGCGGCGCGGGGGGGCCGAGCGGAGCCCAACTCACCGGAGCCCCCCGGCTCGTCCCGCTGCCGCCGCCAGTACCAGACCAGGGCGAGGGATGCCGCGTGCCCCGCCGCCACCAGCGACGGGAACAGGGACCCGGTGTCCTCCATCAGGGACACGGGACGGGCTCGGCACCGGCCGGGCTCGGCGGGTCAGGGACGAACCAGCGCCCGCCCCCACGGGGCAGCGCCCTCTCCGCCTTAACCCCTCCCGAACCGCGCCGTGGAGACGCCTCCTGCCCGCCGCACCGGCACGGCCCCCCCGTGTCCCCCCCATTCCGCGTCTTCGATAAATAACCGGGGCCCGTCACCGAGCCCGAGTTAGAACATGACACGGGCGGGGGCGGGACGGGGCGACCGCGGCGGCGCCCCAGGACCCCCGGACCCCCCGGCAGCGGGGCGGGTCAGCGGGCCGACACCTCGGGGGTCGCCGTGACACCGAGACTAAGAGCCCCGGCAGGGCCCCGCCACTGAGGAAGGCCGCCCCCGGGGCAGGGGGGAGAATGGGGCCGCTGGGGGGTCCCGGGACCCTCCCCGCCCCGCGGGGACCCCGCAAACCGGCGCGACCCCGTCCCCTGAAGGAACTCCAGGCCGGGTTTTCCGGCAGCGGCTCTCGGGGCGGAGGCAAAGCCTGGAGCCGGATCCCCTGATCCGGACGGGACGGCCGCGGCTCCGCGACCGCGTCCCACGCGAGGGTCGGGGGAGAGCCGGGACAACCCCGGAGCCCCGGGCCAGGGCTCGGGGGAAGCCCTCCCGCCCCCACGGGTGCCCGCGCAGGACCCGCAGCCACGGGGCAGCAGCGCCGCGGGCCCGGCCCCCCCGCCGGCCGGTGACTCACGGCTGGCAGGGACCGGGCTCGGCGCCTCCAGGCTGGAAACTTGGACCGGAGGCGGCTGCCCACGGCCACGGGCTGACTCACAGCCCGGGGGGATCGGGGGGGGCCCCCTCACCGCCGCCTCGGAGCGACACCACAGCTGCCCCGCCCGGGGGGGTGGGACACCGGACGCCCCGCACCCCCGCCGGGTCCAGCTGCCGCCGATCGTGTGTCGGGATCGCGTGTCGCCGGGGAGGCGGCGTTGGGGACACCCCCGCAGCCCCCTCCCCAGCGGCACTGCCCGCCCCAGCTGCCGCCGTCTGTCCGACCCACCCCAGGCCCCGTGGGGACCTCGGGGTGCAAAATCCCCACGGAATGTGCCCCCCTCCCCACTCCATGGCCTCCCTAAAGCTCTGCTCCCCACGGCACAGCCCCCCTAGAACGTCTCCCCCCAGCACAGCCCCCCGTGGCACACCGGAGCCCGGGAGGGTGGCAGCAATGCCACCCCTGCAGCACCCCGGGTCCCGTCACCCCACCGGCCTCTTGGGACCCCGGGAAGCCACCTCACTGCACCCCGGACCCCCGTGATCCCCCAGCAACCACTCCTGCCCAGAGCATCCCCGTGGGGTCGGGGGGGGCACGGCCAGGAGCCCCCCAGAGCCCCCCTCCCTCCCCAGACACCACAGGGGCCTGCGGGCACCCCCACCCCATCCTCGGCTATGAAGCAGGGGGGATTTAGGGCACCTTAAGGACCTGTCCTTGTCCCAGACCTCCCCCGGCAGCAGCGGGGCTCGAGTGCCCCCCACCCACGAGAGCACCAGGAGCACCCCGGGGTGATCGGTACCTGCGGCCGGGCCGGGCTGGGGGGGCGGCCGGCACACCCCCGGCCCCGCGCTGACGGCGACGGCTTCCACGTGCCCCTCGGCCTCGTCCCTCCGGCGGTAGAGCCGCTCAGCGCCCGCGGGACGCGCCCGGTGGGCGCCGGGGCCGGCGGGGGCGGCGG